CTCCCACTGATATTTAGCATTTCTATGCTATCACCAAGTCTCTCTATATATCCATTCATTTCGAAGAAACCAATATGTTTTTATAAGTATTGTGTTTCTTCTCCTTGATGTTATTCTTAGATCGAATATTATTCACGTATAGTGTCTTATCTTGCCAACTTTGTATTGCATATCTCTGAAGTTATACTATAATAAACCATACTCATGGCATACTATAAAACCTTTTAAAATGAGCCTTAAAGGTTTTCATAATTAGGAATTCAAATATGTGCCTTAACATGGTACATCTTTTAATTTACTGCAGCATAGAACACGAGCATGCCATGATAAAAATATGATATATGTCAACTCATAAAAAGTTTATCTCCGAGTCCTTTTGAGTATTGAAATAGACTCAAAAATATAAAATAATGCTAAATTCCATCCCTAAATCATACCATATAGTGAGTCTTCGTTTAAGTTATATTTAGGTTGTAATGCAATTTTTTCAGCAGAAAATCAGATTGAGCACCTCTCAATAAAAAAATTGTTTCTCTCAATTCTCAAATAATTTCTTTTTGAAATCTTTAGTGCTGAAAGCTAGACTCAAAATCAAATCATAACATCATAGTTTGAATCCTAAATAATATTTTTCTTCAGATAAATAAATAACATTCATGTCACAAAATAAATTATGCTGTAGAATTCCAAGTTGAACACTATCTAGTAAAATTGTCTTTTCTCTCTACTCTCATAAAGTTTCCATTTTAAACCAATTTTGTTTGAAATTAGACACATAATGATAACACATATATATTCACAAGTCTTATATGACTCTTTTAAGTAGGCTTGATAAATATAGTTACTCATGTCTCAATGAATAACATACCAAATTGTAGAAAATTTAGGATGACATTTTTTCAATCCAAAATTTTTATTCCTCTCTTCCCGTAGATATTTCTCTTTCAAATAAATTCTATTAGAAAATAGACTTGGAATGGAAGTTTAAAAATTTAGTGTGGATCATAAAACACTATATTAAGTATAGAAATAAAATCATGACTTTTAAGTAGTTTTCATTGTAGAAAACAACACTTGCACACCTTTTAATAAATTGATCATATCTTTCAAACCACAAGGAATTTCTCGATGAAACTTTTTTTGCTTGAAAGTATACTCAATTTTGTGAGTCGCAATAAAATTTTAGTAATAAATAAAATCATATCATTGGTGGAAAAATCACAGAACTTAATGGACAGTTCCTGGATTTTGCAGGGTCAGAACTGACATCCTTCATTGATGATTCCATAACTCTCAATTCCCTTAGGATCTTCTACTGAAATTTTTCAAGTAGATTATACTCTTAAAGACACAAAATATCATTGAAGTATGTAATAGAAAAGTACTTTATTATCTTATTCATGTCACTACTCCAAAATAGCCCATAGTACTCATTATGTAGAGTGCCTTTTCGGTGTTGGAGTATTACAATAATTTTTAACTTTGTGTGTATTTCTTGACCACAAAGGTTATTATATCTCATTCCCAAACTTCATCTAAACTCAATAAAGAGAAAAGACAACTAATGACATCAAGTATCAATAGCTCTGATACCAATGAAATAAAGACCTATATGATATTTTACAGGGGAATACAATTTTTTTTTTTTTTTCTTCACTTCTTTCTTTTGGTAAAAGATAACTTACAGGTGGTCTTTATTACAAAAATATAAATTTCAAAATAAAATCAACATAACAATAAAACCAAGATCTTAACAACTTGATGTTATTGAAACAACTATACACTATGTTTGAGAATAAAATATATGATTGCAAGAAACAAAATGAAGAGTATCGTAGGTTACCTCAATCGGGTTTATTACAACCCACACCAAGTCACCACCATTTGATGGCGCGGGATCAATGATCAACCTTCAATCTCTACCAGGAAAGCAAGTTTGGGTCAAGCCACACTAATAGAACATGAACCTCTTTGATCACAAAATCAAACCCTAGGTGAATTCTCTTAGTAACCTAGTTTGAGAGAGATGAATTGTTTTTTTGCTAAACCCTAAAACCCCTAGCCATAAATCCATACTTAAGAGATAAGAGAGAGAATAATTCCATAACCTAAACCCTTAGGTTATTTCACAATGTGGAAGAGAGAGATTAAAGACAAGAGAGTGGTGCATGCCCCCTTTGGCTTTCATGAGAGAGAGAAGCTTTTATCAAAAGAGAGAGAGGGAAATTCTAAGTGGGGCGTGCCCCTTTGTGAGATATGAGAGAGAAATATGATAATTAGGTACAAGAGATAAGGTGGCAAGATTTTTGGACGGACAATCCCTTTGTATAGGCTTTGAATAAGATTAGAGTTTCTAAGAGTTTTCCTTGGCTTGCTCTTCTTATTAGATTGAATATGAACCATTGATCTTGGGTGACTTGTGGGGTGAGAGATTTGAGTCATCAATTCCATAAATGAGCCATCAACATTATGGAATGTGCATGAACCAACCCCCTTTTCCTAAACCATTTTTCCATCAATAGAAATTAAATAAATTAAATCTAATCAAAATATTGTGCATACCATAAAATAGCACAAATCTACTCAATCTTTCCACAAAATATTTTAAAGATACATCAAGTCAATATTTAGTAAATATCTTCCAACCACATGGCAACATGTCATATCACCAAAAAATAAGAAAGAGAATAAAGGTGGGGCATGCCACTCAAGGGAGGCACTCATGGGCTCTACCTTTCTATAAATATGGTGGGCGCATGTGCACAATGGGCCCACATGATATTTTTATACATTTAAAATTAATAAAAGAATTTTAGAATATTATTTGAATATTTAAACCATTATAAAATCATTATAAATCCAAAAATTATAAATAAAATATCAAGGGGTTCATAAAAATTTAAATAATAATCTTAAAATAATATTAATCATAAAACAAACGCAATTAAATTAATTTGATGAGAAAATGATCCATATGGTTTAGAAATCAACGATCATGTGACACTCCACCTTCAACAGTGGACTACAGACTACACTTGCTTTATCAAACCGACCTAGTATTTCCCATGACCTACAGTCCAAGCAGAGGCTCATTAGCGGGTCACCAAAGTACGACAGATGAGCCAAGGGGTCACAATCTCAGTATGTCGATTTCAGGTCATCCCCTAGAGACGAGTCAACGTCACCTAAACCTGATACGACCACAACTCCTATGCTGCATAGGAGTATCTCTTACACATGCATACACTTCACTCTATAAGGTGGATTTCTGATTTTCTCAAATGATCTATCGGTATGCATGCCGTGTGATGGCACATAGATGAGGCTTTGACCCCCGTCTCTGTAGGCTACCATCACACATAAAGGTCACATAGTCCCTCGGCTCTCTCATCCGGGCATATTCTCCGACCTCATCAAGGGCTAATCCATTAGAACCCTTTGCGGTTTGTTCTTTATGCCCAGGTAATATGGGTTTTTTCCAACCGACTGGTCTAGATCGTCAAGCACAGTCCGGTATTAGCAAACATTATTTGCTTAATATGGTCCACGAGGGACCACACTCTCACTAAGTTCATGTTACACTATATCATTTCGTTTTACAAGCGCTCATAAGACCTTAGCAGGCCACATGAACCCAATACAGTAATATATTTCACAAACAATATATTTCCAGGTATCCAAACGGCCATGATTTCGAACCTATAATTTAGACATATTTGGAGCTTACATGTCTAAAAGATATTGCTTCGCACCTTCGTGTTAAGGTTATTGGCCATGCTAATGTTACAAAAATTATGATGAACTTGCATATATTTTATAAATATTTTTGATATAGTCTTCCAGTTGTTCTAAATTCTATATGAAATTCGCTTTAAAAATTGTATTTAAAGAGCAATGATCCAATGCAACGGTTGTATCATAGTATAATGCAACAACACTTATAGAAAAACATGTTTGTAGTATTTGTATGACCCCAAATACACACACACACTCTCTTCATCTCAATAATCATCTCCCCCCCCCCCCCCAACAAAAAAAAAAGTTCAATTTGAACCCTAGATATGGTCAAAATGAGTCCCCTCCAAAAACAAATCTAGACCATTTATTTTGTGAATTTCAAGATCTTAGCCTTTATAAACTCAAAATCATTTTTTTCTTTTTTAACATTGTTCATCTAATGATAATAAAGCCATCCAAAAAATTTGGAAATGAAGAATCCTTTTAAGGCCTAGATCTAAGCATATCACCAAAATGAACGGCCTGTGTTAATTGGGCTAAAAAAATACTTTATAGGTTGTGTTTTCAATTTTTTATTTTTTTGTGATTGTTTATTAGAATTAAAAGAGTGTATATTTCAAAATTTGGATCAAACAAATGACCATAAAATGGTTTTTTAAGGTTGTTGCATCATATTACTATACAATGGTTGAATGAAATCATTGCCCGTATTTAAGAGCAATGATCCAATGCAATGATTGTATCATAGTATAATGTAACGACACTTTTAGAAAACCATGTTTGTGGTATTTGCATGACCTCAAATTTTGCACATACACTCTCTTCGGTTCAATAATTAATCCTCCCCTAAAAAAAGTTCAATTTGAACCTTAAATATGGTCAAAATGAGTCCCTTTAAAAAACGAATCTAAACCATTCATTTTGTGAATTTCAAGATCTTAGCTTTTATAAATTCAAAACCAATTTTTTTTTTTAAACATTGTTTATCTAATAATAATAAAGCCATCTAAAAAAAATTAGAAATAAAAAAATCTCTCTAAAGCCTAGATCTAACAATCTCACCAAAATAAACAACTTATGTTAATTGGGCTAAAACAATACTTTTTAAGTCGTGTTTTAAATTTTTTTTTTTTTAGGAATTATTCGTTAGAATAAAAAAAGTGTATATTCTAAATTGGGATAAAAAAAGTGGCCATAAGGTTTTTAAGGTTGGTGCATATCATATTATAAGATTGTTGCATTATATTATGTACAAACGTTTTTTAGGGGCCCGTACATCTACAGCTTAGTCGGCTTTCTCCTAGTTGTCTCGCGCTATACTCTCTCGCTCGGCCCACAGAGACAGCCCTGGAGCTCCTCTCTCAAAGTTCGCTCTTCCTGGTCGCTCTCGCCGTCCAGGAACCCTCATCTCTCACTCTGGACGGAGGATAGCAGGTACGCTCATCCATCTCTCCCTCCTTTTCTCTTGGTCTTGGTTTATGTGTTTCTCTCTCTACAATTTCTGCGACTGGCTTTGCTTAGCCTCATTTTGTGTTGTCTCTGGATATTATTGAATCTTCAAATGGGTTTGAGTCTCTCTCTAGACATTTGAGATGATTTTGGTCTCTCTCGACATTGGGAATGTAGGTTTCATTGATCTCTCTCTGTAAGTTTAACAGGCTTTTGCTGTTAACTATGGTTTTGCATTTGAGAATATCCAAATCTAATATACGGTTTTTCTGTTAAAGAGATTATACGGAATATCAATACCCAACTTTAATAGGGTCAAGTTGGTTTATTCTACTCATTTAACTGAAGAATCATTCACAGGTTTGTTGTCTAGTTTCTTATTTTTTTCTTCAAATTTTATGCATTTCTGGTCTTTTTACCATGAATGGCATGTCCATATTGGTATCTTTTTTTTTTTGCACTGTGAGGTGCGATTATTTTTTGCCTCTTTTGAGTTGCTGTACATTTGCCTCTTTCAAGGTGCCATTCCTTTTTTAATGTGTTTTTTGAGGTGGAACTTGACCATGTCTTGGTGTGATCTGATTCTGGTTTTTCATGATACGCTAATAATTGGTGACCTCGTTGATCTGTTATTCATAAGTTTATTGTTTGATTGCTTTGCTATTTATGTAATTTTGCACAGCTTAGGATTCTTCCATGAATATGTTTATTCATTTTATCCATGATTATTCATTATAGTTTTCATTTTTTTCTTATGCACTTTTTTTGAAATTTTTGCCATGGACAAGTTGATCAATCAATTACTTCGTTCCATAATTTTTGTTGCGAGTTATTGCTATTATTATGTAGAATTGCTATGGGTGGACTCTGTGGTTCAAATGAGTGATTGGATTGAAATTTTTCTCCTTTCGTTTGGTTTTTTGGGAGAAATTGTTGTGTTAATTTCATTATTTGGATTAGAGTCGGTGTTTCACTTCTAGTTGTTGATATGCTCTCCTTGTTTTTTCGGATCTAAATGTTCAATGAGCATTGCACGATATAAGAACAAACTTCAATCTTAACCATTACATTTTATAAGATATGTATTTCTGAAAGTTTTGGCTTAAAAGTATTAGAAGGATCCATAATTGATTTGAATGGATGTTTTCATGCAAGGATCCATAGTTGATTATATAGAATTGCACTAGGTTACGTTGTTCTCCACATATGTTCATATTTTTAGCCTCGAGTTGTATAAGACTTTCTTAGTGAACTTTGGATATGGTTATGTACTTACCTATTATGGTGTATCAGTGTGGTTGAAATTTGATTTTTTATTGGGGGTTGTTCTCTCTTTAGTTACAGAAATATGAGATTAAATTTCGATCTTAACGATACATTGTAAGAAACACATTAGATGGGTGGTAGCAAGAAAATCTTATTCAAAATATACATTTTACGCATCAAATCAATGAAATACATAATGAACGGTTAAAACATGTATCCTGCTTTCCCACTACCAAACAGGTGAAAATAGTAGAACCACATTTGATCAAACAGGGTTTCTAGCTTTCAGGCTACCAATTTTCACTTTCTTCCCAGATTCCAAGAAAGTTAGCAGCAGGGAGAATCCTGGGGAAACTACAAAGAAAGTTATCAAACGCCACGTTCACAGAAGCCCTTCTTTTCTCTCGGAAACCTGGCGTTCACATAAATTTGCCCACATGCACACCCCACAGCTCTCTCTACTCTCTCTATCTCTCTCTACCATCGGACTTCCCTATCCTCCCGCTCTCTCTCTATTTCTGTACCCATTCACCCTCTCTCTATCTCCATCTCCATCTCCTTGGCCAACTTTTCCCCTCAAAAGCCCTAAACATCCTCTCCTTAAAACCCTAAATCTGGCGTGTCACTCGAAACAAAAAACCTTGTCTCTAGCCCCTCAAGGAAACTCTGTTTCTCAAAGCCCTAATCTCCAAGCTTGCAGATAGTTAGTTTGAGGTTGAAGATATTTCAATTGATCAAACCAAGGAGCACTTAATAAAGCCAAATCCTAAAGCATCGGTGCACTTTTTATTTTTATATTTTGTGGTGAGATTTGAGGGGATATTTTACTGATTTTGGTAGTACTGTCGGTGATATAGTAGTTTGCAAATGCAATTTTGTGTTTTCTATTTTGTGGTGAGGTTTGAAGGGATACTGCACTGATTTTTATAGTTTTTATTTGTGATATCGTAGCAGTTTTATAGTGCTTTTTTAGTTATTTTTTGTGATTTTTGCTTATAATTTTTGTAGTGATTTGCAATGTCTTGTCTAATCCAAAACTTATCCATAAAAGTAAAAGTTTTTGACAATGATGAGAATTCAATTTTATGTCACATCTCGGAGGAACGTTGTCAACTCTTCTGTCCATGTTACAATTTGATTCATGCTGCATAATTTACAATACAAAATGCACATTGTTTGAATTTAAGTGGTCCAAGTTAGTCATCAATACGCAATTTGTATTCCTGTTTTACATAAACATTATTTAGTTTTTCTTTCATTTGTCTGTTTTACAAAATAATTAAAAGGTTTTTTTTATTTCTGGAAGGTTTTGATTTCTTGAGTATGCATCATGTTAACATAGCCATCAATGGTATGGTGAGATTCATTTGGGGCTGGTTGTTAGATTAATTTCTTATTTGCACCTCATATGGTGTGAAAAATGGCAAAATATGACCGACTGTACAAGAAATCACATTATTATAGGTAAAATTCATGCAATTTTTCCTAGCCAAAATGAGGGTAATGTATTTCCACATTTCTTCCATACATAGCCAAACAGTGCCATTGTACTTCCTAAGTTGCATCCAGATGAAAATATCGCTAGAAATGTGGCAATGTATTTCATGTGAAAATATCATGACCAACTTTATGTCTAAAAGCTCATCTAGAACACATTTTTCGCAATGTATTTATCAGAAAAGAAAACAAAGCGGCCTTCAAATTGTATTCAAGAGAAAAAAACTGCAATCCTTCACAGTGCACATTTTGTTCAATTGGAACTCTTTTTTTTTTTTGATAAGCAATTGGAACTCTTCTTTAAAATGAAAATTCATGAAGCTGGTGAGGATTGAAATGGTGATGTCACAAATGAATCCAGTTGATTGTCTGTATTTTGTTTATATAACTCCCTCTTCTCTTGTATACACATGCCCCTTTTTTTGTGGTTTATAGCTATACTTCTAATTCTTTTTAAAAATAATTTGTTATTGATAAAAAAAAATGCTGAATGAGATAATATTTCTTAAATTTTGTCTAATAGGTAATAGTGAGTTTTAAAGCTTGGAAATGAGCCTGAGGAAGCTATTGGCTGAGGCAGCATTGAAAGGAGTGACAGAGGTAAGAGCACAGATATTTGGTCATGTTTTGAATCCCACAGGCCAAAGGTCTCCTCATAAGTTATTGAGGAAGAAATTAATTGGTGAGAAGGTTGCTTCATGGTACCCTTACGACATTAAAAAAGAGGATCCCCTCGTTATGGGCCGGCAAGAACACGAGTATGTTCCGTTTTATTTTGGATTCTATGCTTATATTGTGTGTTTATTAAGTGCTCAAATCAGTGTGTTAAATACCTTTTTAGCTCAAACTTCTCTGTAAATTACTGTTGTAGAGCATAACTTCTCATTACTCACATTTGGAGAGATGTTCACTACAGGATACAATGTAATGCATTAATAAATTTTAGCATGGGCTTTTCAAATTTTTTTGTGGAGTGCTATCCTTGGCATTCTTAGGTCTTGGCTGATTTTTAGCTCTTACTATTGGAGCATCTAATTCAGAACTTTCAGAAGCTTATATTGTATTGACTACCTCCCATTTGGCTAAAAAACTAACTATGAACAAGGTCTTTCTAAAAGGATTAGAATTACAGCAAAAGTTAAGCCATTTAGTTCTGTCAAATATCAAAATGCTTGGTCTTGATTAACTAGTGAAAACTTGTGTTAATCAACTAGTGATAAACTGTACAAATTTATGAGTGTTGACACAAAAGCTTAGCGAGCTTCGAATCATGATAATGAGAGGGTTGCTTTTTGGAAGAGCAAATGCATTTTGAGATCAATGATTACATGGAATAATTGCATTAATGATGTAGAGAACTTGAAGAAACAGTGGAAATCATGAAGAAAACACCTTGACACATGCAATTTTGGAGAAACCGTTAGGCTTCCTCCCACCTAGGGCTCAAGCCTTAGGCTTCCTTTTTGTTTTCCAAGACAAAGTCTTTTTTTCTTGAAAAGAGGAATACCTGAATGCCTCTCTAGCCCGTCCACACCCCTATTTATAATGAAAATTTATCGCTTTGAAAAATATTTATCCATACAAATTAATTTTTGAACAAAAAGTCCTAACTTAAATATAACTTGAAAATGAACTCCCTAACTTTAATTAAAATGTTTAAAAAGTACCTAACTGGTCCATCAATAAATAAAAATTCTAAAATAGCCTAAAAAATTCCAAAAAAAAATTCAAGGTATTTCTTGCTCTTCTTGTTCTTCTTGGAAGCCCTCTTAAGGTTTTCATTCTTCAAATATGAGCGAAAATTAGGAGTAATATGTTGCTCCGAAAGAAGATACTCGTGGCTACTCATTGTGCTCTGATCACCATCATCAATTAAACACATCTTTATCTTATCATTTTTTTAGTTTTTATTTATTTATTATTATTATTATTATTATTTTTCTTCATCAAAAAAAAAAAAATCCCACAAGATGTGGGAACTAGCAGACCAGGTGTTCACTACACCAAAAAATAAAAAAATAGACATGCACACAGGCTTTAGTAAAAATTTCTACTTTCTTCATCATTTCAAGATGTTATAGCCTTGTATGAGTCATATATATGGATTCATCTAGATTTCAGTTAGGTATCATGCTTTACCATCCTACTGCGTTGTCGGGAATCGCATGATTAGAAAATCTTTGTTATAAGATGGCCAAACATTTCCTTGATGGCCAAAATTATTTAATAGCCTGCTTTGAGAGATGATCACTATGTAAAAAAGGTGAGTTCATACTTTCAAAAAGCGCTAGACGGGCGACCAGAACCTGGGCGGCCCAGTTGAATCCAAACAGGATTATACAATTGTATATTGTATAAAATATAAAAATTAGGAATTTAAGGCACATTAGAATTGAAAGTATACTACACATTAGCACACACTCCATAAGCATAACCATAAGTCTGTCCATAATCCATATCCAATTAAAACTTAAAATTTACCATTTATATTTCAATCAAAGTCTAAAGGTTAATAATTATTCAACATTCATCATTCATCATCAGAAAAATTAGGGTCAGTTGCATTGGCATTATATTCATCGGAGTTGTCACCCTCCTCGACATATTGGTCGTCCTCCTCCGTCTCTTCTAAATCTGCCTCTTCTTCCTCATCTTCCTCCTCCACCCTCATTCTCTGTGCAAAAGATCTAGTGGCCCTAGGACGGTTAGCTGATGTCCCTGAAGTATCCATGACCATGTCCCATGTCAATCCTTCATGCCCCTCCACCTCATCATCATCAACTAACCACTCCATAGTATTGTCCATATTTTTTGATCTGATGGGGTCTCTCTTATCTCTCTTAGCAAACACATTCTTCAAGAATCGATTATACTTGACATAGACTAGGTCATTGAACCTCTTTGATTCAAGCCTGTTCCTTCTCTTTGTATGAATCTAACAAAATCAAATGAAACTAATTAAAATATATGATTCATGTATCAGTAATACAATTATACAGATTACCCTTACGGCCATACCCCTTCAAAAGTACTCCAATTGCGCCCACAATTGGATGAAGAAGTGGTTAGGTTTAAGATCCGAATGGCCAACTTTTGTAAATTTGGAGAACTACACCCATGTTGGCTCCACCAATTGGCTGCAAAGATATAGAATAAAGTCATAAATAAATATTAGAATTATAAACATGAAACTTGATTACTTGAATGTGATGAACTTAAGAATATTACTACTACCTGGATCAATTTTGGTCCTTTGCCTCATCGCCATTGGACTCCCAAAGACTTTAATGAGCACTTGTAATTTATCAGCTCATCAGCGCATATAATATCTGGGACATCTGGATCAGGTACTAGAACATCTACACACTTATTAAATCCAGTCATAATTGGGTCATTTGTGTGTATATCCTTGTCAACATAAAAAAAAACTGGTTCAAATAATAGCCAGCTGCATACAATGACCGATGTAGCTGCCTATCCCACTTCTCGTCAATAATCTCCCAAACAAGCTTGTAGCAGTTCTCATCATTATCAAAATTTTGGGCTATCTCTCTTTTGCATTTCTGCATAGCCTCAGATATAGAGCCCATAGAAGGCTTGTCAATATAAACCATGTGAAGGACTTTGAGCCTGTCACCCCTCGTCAAAAATCTTTAGAAAGGATAATATCTCTCACCTTCTTCCAACCTGATCCTTGGACCACTTGTATGCTCTCCAGTCATCCGAGGTAAACATCTGCCTCAACTGCACTCTCCTCGAATGTATGTTATCTAGGCATAAGTACCAGGTCGCAAATCTCGTGACCCCATGCCTCACAATCTCTTTCTTCTTTGGAAAACTATGCATCATGCTGAGGATGAGATAGTGGCCATAAATGAAAGTTGTAACTGACTTTGCCTTCTTCAGTGCACCTGATATCTCGGTTAAACCGGCAAGAGCCTCAAGCATGAGGTCTATACAGTGTGCTGCACATGGTATCCAAAAGATTCTAGGATAAGCTATGCGCTATGCGCAACAAATTAGCTGCAACAACATTAGGAGCAGCATTGTCTGTGACAACCTGTACAACATGATGTTCCCAACCTCCTTGATTCCTTTCTCTAAAACTTGGAATATGTAATGGGCATCATGGATATGATCAGAAGGCATCAATAGACCTCAAAAAACAGTCCCTAAAGGACAATTCACAAGCAAATTCATTGGACTTCTTCTCTACCTATCACTCCAAGCATCAGTCATAATAAACCCATACTGGACCCATCCATCCTTCTTAACTTCTACAGCTTCCTTCGTGACACTCACCGCCTTTTTCAAACTCTGAAAGATCATATGGGGTTAGAGGTTTCATCCCAGGCCCAAATTGGCCAATTGCCTCTATTGCAGCATAGAAGCTGCTTATGCGAGTGGTATTGAAAGGAATGCCCGCCTCATAAAACCATGTAGCAAGATAATAAGCAGCTCTATCTCTCTCTTCCTTCTTCATTCTATTTTCAATGGTGGTTTGCTTCTTTGTTTTCTCTCCTGCAACCTCAGTGTCAGGCCGAGGCAAAAAACTATCCATAGGGCCTCTAACCCGAGGCTCCTTACTCCTAGAACCAGAAGCAATTACAACTCTTTTTCCCTTTCCCCTAATAATGGATTGTTCTACTTTTACCTCTTGACATCCCTCCCCAATCCCATCCTCATCACTGTCATCATCATCATAATTGTCCCGAACCTCAGACCTAATCTCTGCTATGGATGCAAATCTCTCATCTTTTTTCTTTTTTACCATATTAAAAAAATTGGTTATTTCCTTTTTAACAGCTTCGGAAGTCTTTTTACATTGGGTAACATCCCCCCTGATATCGACAAGATGTTTATTGAACCGGTTTATGGCCCCTTTTGTATCCTTCTCACAAAAATTGCATCTTATGCAATTTTTATCATTAGGATTTGGGTTGTAGCCTTATTTTTAACTGGGATCACCACTCCTATTAGATCCCGAAGAAGGCATCTCAAAATAATGCAATTTACACAAGCAATAAAAAAAATCACTTACTTTGAGTTTGATTGCTCAATCTCCAAACTTCCACCTCAAAGATGCTTCTAAGGACTCAAAATCTTCTGAAAACCCCTTCAATAGATTTATAAAACATCAAAAATTAAATCTAATATCAATGGGTGATGTTTTGATCGATTTTTCATAACTTTGAGAAACCCTTCGATCTTAAAGAAATCACAGAAAAATTAGTTTTTTGGGGGCTTTCGCTCTCTAAAATGGGCTCTAATAAGTTTTAGGTTTCAAATAGACCTAAAACCACAATTTTTGGCCGTTTAGTATAAAGAAATGGAGAAAAAATGCCCCCATAGAAAGCAATTTTCGCGGGCGTTGGACCTAGGCGGCCACCTAGGTCTGGGAGCTGGGCGGCCGCCTAGGTGGTTTCCTGGGCTCCTAGGCGGGCGCCTAGGGACCACCGCTTTTTTAGGGCGCCTAGGCCTGGGCACATTGCCCAGGCCTCAGATCCACCTAGGCGGTTGCCCAGGCGCTGGGTGGTCCGCTTTTTGGAACACTGGGTGAGTTAGATCTGAACTGCAACTGAGACCTCTTTAGAGCTTGAAAGAATGTAGCTTAGCTCCAATTGGGGCATAGAAGATGCAAATTGTTTGCCACTCCGATAGATGGAATGGAAATGGTTGGTGCAACTTTGCAAGGTTAAGGGAGGTTTGCACTGATGTAGGATGATGTTGCATATAGAGAGTAGCATGGCCCTGCGGTAGAGGAGGAAGAGGGCACTACTGTGCCTTGCAACTATTGTTGGGGAACTGGACCAACCAGTCCATATTATTTTTCATTTGAGATGGAACTCTAGCTAATCTGAAGACAAAACCCACCTCTTCAGAATTTGGAGGCAGAATACAAGCCTGTAAATGAGGGCAATGTGGTAACTCTATGTTTCTCTTTCTACTTGAGTTTAAAGTGAGGAACTTGGAGGTGGGCTTTCTATTATGCTGTTATGAGCTTGTTTAGAAATTAATGTATGAAAACTACAAACCCTATTGTTCCAGTAGTGAATGGTGTGCTTGAAGAACCTCTCAGGAATTGATATTTATTGTGACTCCAAATCCTATTTATTTCATTTGAATAGGAACTGCTGCATAACGATATCTCCTTCTGTGGTATTACAGTCAACTTGAAAAGGGGACCAAATGCATCTATATTAAAGGATATTAGTGTATTTGTCATTTGAAAAAGATTCATACACAGCCCACCAATGTCTGATGCTCTTATCCATCGATGAATAATTTATGTCAGTATCATTTGCAGTTTCAACAACATATTTAGGCGTGCAGCTCAAATTGAACACTTCTTGATGCCGAGTTTGGTGACAAGACGTAAATGGATTTTCAAAGCCTGACCAGTCGCTAAGTTTATTTTTTATGGGTGGGTTGAAAATTGATATTTGCAAGGTTCAACTACACACAAAAGCTTACTATTTGTCGTTCCACTGTGTTTATATGTGAATTTCACTCACACCTGCCTGACAAGAATTGATCGCAAGTGTGTGAATCGAAGAACTGTCCTTAGATTATACTTTGAGAGGTCACACCTGCTTGACATGCATTGACGGCAAGTGCATGAATCCAAAAAAATTCCCTCATTATATTTTGAGAGGTGTTTCTTAATCATAGGAGTTCGAGATAATTTTTGTTCCCTGTTCTTCTTTGGTCTTTCCCTCTATCTAAGCATGTGGATGGATTTCTTTTAGTAATATTTATTGGATTAGGGCAAGTTTCAAGGGACCACTTTATCTCTAGTATGTGGCCTTCTGACCACTTTTAACCAAATTAACGGGTTACTCAAATTAACGGGTTATAGAAATGAGGCCTACTCTTGAGGAGGTTGGAGCATAGTTGTCGGCTTCGGGTGCATTACAGGGAATGGGAACTGGTTCGGGTCCACTGAACCATGTATTGCTGGAAGATCCTTGTGGTTGGGATTGTCGACTGTACCATCACATATCAAGGGAGTGTGATCCTTATCACATGGAAGCGCGATTCCATGAGGTTGGAATCACAATAGTAAGTTTTAAGGGATCGGTAATGATGTGTAGGTTCACATTACCATTGGGCACAAACCTAAATCAGTGCATATGAATCAGTGCCGAATAGGGAAAATATCATATGCACTGCATCTTACACTTGAGAACAGCAATTCAAACGAGTACGCTGGAGCATAGTTGTCGGGTTCAAACCCTCTGGGATTGAGGATCACAATATAGGGCTCCACGTTCCATCCAAGATCCTTGGCTAGATCATAAAAAAATTGAAGAAATAAACCCACCTCTGGGTGGCAAGCAGATGGTTGAGTTTGATCTCGTCAAAGATTCAGAGGTTTTGTTGGATTACTATTTTAGCAAAGGTTCCAAGAATAGAAAAGCTTCAAATTAGAGAATTCCATATTCCCAACAGGTGCTCTATGTGCAAAGCTGCTGAGGAAAACAAAGCCCTCATATTTCTTCATTGCAAGATGGCCGAAATTTTGTGGTCTTAGATCCTTTAGAGCTTTGGTTGGGTTTGGGTAGCACCACAATCCGTACATTTCAATCTTTTCTCTCTCCACCATGTCTGGCAGCAGTCATCTTGCTTTGAGGGGTTCAATGGCTGCAACCATTATGGACCCTGTGGACTGAGAGCATCACGAGGAATTTCGAGGATATGGTGGCTAATCCCAATGCCCTCTTGGATTGTGTTAGAAATATGGCCATCCTTTGAGCTTGAAACCACGACACTCTTAGAAGCCTCTCCATGAACAATTTCCTCGGCAGTGGGAGTAATATCCTATCTTCTACAGCAGCTTTGATTTCCTGCTTCGCTGTGAATACCTCCGGAGACAAATCAGATGAAGCTCAACTTTGACAGTTGCTCTCTTGGCAGCCTGGGGCTGGCAGGCTTTGGGGGTCTCTTCAGAAATCACAACAGCGTATCCTTCTTTTGTTCTCTGGCCATCTTGGCCATGCAGATTCCGCCTTTGTGGAGTCTATGGCCTTACTGGAAGGCATCAAGAGATTCAACTGGAATTGGGGGTAACTCCCTTCTTGTTGAGGGAGACTCCAAGAACAACATTGCGTTTGTCTTGCGAACATTTACCAGTCCATGGCATCTTATCCATATTATCCCTATTTCCTTCCTCTGTAGGCATATTCGCGTCTTCTTTCGGCGTATTTGGAGGGAGGCCAACTCTTGTGCAGACAGTTTGGTCAAGAATGATGTGATTGCCAGGGACACTGATCGATTCTTATCAGTTTTTTGCATCATTTCAACATTTTTTGTTTTTTGCCTTTTCCCTTGTATAGAGTGCTGCCTCTAAGACTATTTTTTGTATATCGGGTGCTTCGTCTAGCATCAATGCTTTGTGCATGGACACTAAGAGCTGGCCCGGCAACAAGCTTATACAACTGTTGTACCTTTCATATACAGTAATACAAATCTTCGTCACCATTCCCCCCCCCCCCAAAATAAAAAATAAAAAATAAAAAAGAAACTAAACTCGAGTATTCCATGATTATAACCAACTGACGACTTTCCCGAAAATGATTATCATGGCAATCTTTCACCACTGTTTATTTTGTTGTGGAAGCTTACTCTGGAGTCCAGGCACTTGGTTTTGTAGGCTGCTTCTTGGCCTTTAGCTGCCACCTCAAGTTGTGTCTCAGGGCATTGAAAATGCACATTTTTCCAAGATCATCACTGTAAAATGACACGAAGCGAAATGTCCATATAAAGATACTGGGTGATGTATTCTGCAGATTGAAAGTACACTATATATGTATTTAATACTTGAGCAAGTTCAATAAACATGGGTTTAGTCTTTTAGAATATTCTGTTCTCAGTCAATGTATAAGTTCAATAAACGTGGTTTTAGTTTTCTAGAATATTCTGCTCTCAGTCAATTTATATGTACAATGGAATAATTATTATTATCCATCATATATCAGAAAAGTGGGTGATGGTTATCATTGTTGGAATGTCATTTATGGTTGATGGTCTATGGATTAGAGGAATTAGAGGATTTCTATACATTTTTTTTTTTAATTTTTATCAAAGAGTATCTGCAGATGTGGCAATTGGAGATTTAAATAGAGATGGACATAACTTTGTAGTGCTCGCCTGATATCAGAGTGCATCAAGATTAATTGTCTTTGGCCTCTTATCAGGAGTTCCTGGATAGCGCTTCGGAGACTACTGTGAGCAGTGAAATTCCCAGGCCAAGTTTTGGGGTGGTGGGAATATGCCCTCCTATTGGGTCTTGACAGTGATGCCCTAGCCTGGTCTGGAATTACTAGAGTGGGAATTTGTGTTTGAATCCATTTTTCACACATTCTGATCCTTTGTTTACAATTTACTGTCATTGCTATTTCTTAAATTAGGGTCTAGTTTTATCGCCATTCTTTCTCTATTCCCAACCAACATAGCGGATGGCAACTTCATGATAGTGGGCAGCTAGTATAGCCACCGCCAATATTAGAAACATTGGTGGAAACTAGCCTCCTATGTGTGTGTGTGCGTGTGCGTGTGCGTGCGTGGTGTGTTGTGTTGTGCATGCATGCGTGGTGTGTTGTGTTGTGCGTGTGTGTGTGTCATTGGGTCATCAAGAAAATATCATTTAGAAACCATTTGTTTTCTGTTTGGGTAGGAAGCTGGTTTCAGACCCCCAATCTCAAGATTGCAACAGGGCCTTGGAGTTGGCTTATTGGCTTGGACTTGAAAATATACTCTTTCTTCATGTCCAAAAGAGAGGAAACCCTATTAAACGTTTATTTACTTCTGCCTAGTTTTATCTCTATTTTGGCAGATGTTTTTTGAAACTGTTTACCTCTTGCAAGAGTTGTTACTTGAGCTTCAATCTTGCTTGCAGTTTATGCAGCTGAAATTAGTTCTTTTGGTTTCTTTTTAGATGTTTGGATCTTTGAGTGATGATTTTGTGCATTACAGGCGATCTTTGGATCTTTATTGATTGATGATTTTGTGCATTACAGGCGGTTAGCTAAGCTTGAAATGTTGAAGCGACGTGGAAAGGGACCACCCAAGAAGGGCCAAGGCAGGCGTGCGGTTAAGCGCAATAAGTGAGACTGTTTATTGGCTTCAGGTGTTACTGCCAAGCTAAAGTAGACCATGAGATCAAGCAATTTTGTCTCAAAATAGGAGTTAAGCTCTCTTGGTATTATTCAGTTGATGTTGCTTCCCCGCAAGCCGAGTCATTCTGGGACGGATGAATTACCCAAAAAAGTGGGTGACTCTGTTCTGGGTCCTGAAAGTATTTGTATTTTTTAATTCAGACCTGGCAGAGTTGGCCCTCTCTTCGGCTTGGGAGTGCGGCAAGTCCGAGTCCAAACCTGGGTTTCAAATATTGGTGTTAGGTGGTTTTATGACTTTTATTCCGTGTTATTCAGTCTAATTTATTATTTTTGTGTCTTAGAGCGCAACAGAGTTCCCCTTGAAGTTTGGATTTCTTAGCTGACCTATTCTTTTTGCCTACTTTTTAATCTTTTTGGGTGGGGAACACTGGACCTTTGAGATCCTAGCCATAGTCTGAACCCAAAGTGTGCACACAACAGCTAGATTTTTATGGAAAGTTATAAATAATCTCCCCTCTAGATAATCTGTTGCATTCCTTGATCATTAAAGCCCACAAGTAACTGAGCCCACGATTCTTGATTTTAGACCTTCACCACGAAGCACATTTCTCTCAAAAGATCCTGTGTTAAGCACACCTGTATCCCGTGGTTTTCAATCCCATTGATGCTACCCACCGACACCTTCAAAAAATGACTCCTAATCTATTTGAAAAACGGGTGGTGGCCTATCTTCCCTATTGAATTACACAAAAATAAAAAAAATCTTGTGGTTTGTGTTTTTTCCAAAGGTCCAAAAAGAGAGCACATTTAGGGCTGTTTGGGTATTTGGAAATCTATTACATAACGATCGATTACTAGGAAATATGATATTAGTACACTTTATTATAAAAAAATAGAAAGAGATTATTCGAGATTTTTTCAAAAATCATGAAATACAATACGCTTATTGAAAAAGGTAAAAAATCTATTATGCTCTAGATTGGTAATCTTTAGAAATCTTTGCGTGCGTCTGTCAGTCTTATCCCGGTTTAATTAAATACCAACTTGTTCTATCCCAGTTTAATAAAATGTCAACCCGTCTATTCGGTGTGCATAGGTGCTCCTTCCCTCTTTAAGCCCGTTCTTGTCAAGTAATAGTAATCTTTAGATATCTTTTGCGTGCATCTGTCAGTCCTATTCCAGCTTAATAAAATATCAACACGTCTTATCCCAGCTTAATAAAATGCCAACTCGTTTATTCGTTTTGTATAGGTGCTCCCTCCCTCATTAAGCCGGTCCCCTTTCTCTTGAACCCTAGTGCATAAGGTGCTCTCTCTCTCAGCTCTTTCTTCTGATCTGTACTTTTTATTTTATTTTATATCTATATTAAGCCCCTTTTATGTTTAAGCTTTTTCCTCTCATCTCGACTTTTTTTTTTTTTCCTTCTTGCTCTCTCTTCTGGACTTTTTCCATTCTCCCTCTTTTTATTTAAGCTCCTTTACTCTCTCATATGGACTTTTTCCATTTTCTGTTTCCCTTAAGCATATCCATTTTCTTTAGCATATTGATTCTAATCAATGAGAAATTACAACATAAAATTATAATAAAAAATAAAATTTCACCCAACATAAGAAATTACACAACACAATTATAATAAAAAAATTTACCCAACATAATCTTCATAAGAGATTAGTAAAAGCTCAATTGAAATAAGATGACTCTTTAGTTTCTTCCAATAGTTCAAAATTTTCTAATGTAATTACCAAACCTTATAGTTTATTAATCAAACTTATTTCTATTTTTTAACTTGTACCATAAAGATTTTTAATTTGGTATCATAAATTTATTGTTTATTGAATTTATATAGATAGATATTTGAAAGACTTTTATAAAAAATAAATAAAAGTAAGGCTCATCATAATAAAAACATGTTATTCCAATCATATTATGTCAATGACTTATCATGTTGAAATCAAAGTTTAGAAGACATGTGATTCCATGTAAGTGCCAAAGGCATGCAAAATAAGTAAGAAATTGTTTGATGATGACTTTAGAATGGTGCAAGTTATTATTAGAATTTTTTTTTGGAATGGTGATGATGTTATTATTAGAAAATCTTTTTTGAATGATGTGATGATGACTTTAATTCCGTATTTTAGTGGAATTTGTGGCAAAAGAAAGAAAGAAATGATAGTTTATAGGCAAGTGTTGGTAAAATGTTGGTAATGCATTTCCCATATTTCTTCTAAACATTGCCAGCCAAGTATTTTTCAAGTTGCATCTAAATACTACTCAAACAGTAACAATCCATTTACAAGTAATGTATTACGTCAGTAATATATTTCACAGACAATATTTTTCCAGGTATCCAAATGGCCCCTTAATGATTTCCATAGGCACTGCCGATCTTAGAAAATGGTGTGGAGAACCATTGGTCAAATAATTGGGAAGGTGTTGTTGGTCACACCTACTACATTGATAATTTCAACACCCAACTCCAGATTCCTTTTTGCCATGACACAATGTGAGAAGAGGTGGTCTATATCTTCTTTTATCTTTTCACATGAGGCAAATATTGGTGAACATTGTACCTCTCTTTCTTAATCTACTAATTGTTTGCAGTCCACGCAATCTTAAAATCCAAACAAAACATTGAATTTTATGAGGGATAAGAAGGTCCTTAACCTTGGTAGACAAGAACAAATGTTAAAATCTGTCCCAAGAGACCAACCGCTCTATTGAAATCTCATAACCCCAAGTAGGCTCCAAAATGATTTCATCTCTTTTGGTTGGACAATGATAATGTAGCTATAGTTTCTTTAATAATAGGTAGTCAGGGTACAACAACATTACGACATAATGACTAGAGTTCTATTTCTATCATGGGTAATTCTATTATAGTTAAGGGACCCTTTTCTTACTAAACTACCCCAAAAAAAGAAAAAGAAAACTATGCTGCACAACAAAACAGTCACTCTTTGATATCTGCACTCTATGAACCACATTTTGTTCAAGATGAAGCCTTGTATCATACCCTCAGCTATTTCTTGCTGGTTGTCACTTTGTGAATTCTATGGATGGTCCCGCTTTAGGGGTCCTTAACAAAATCCATTATTTGCCAAAATAATGTCACTACAACTACCTACCAACACTATTCTATAATGGTTAACATTTCTTCAATGTTCTAGAACTTACCTCTTTCCCTAATATCATACCCCAATTTATGCCCATATTTACTACATACCATCACCTCTTTCCACAATTCGCCCGTGTTAGTTGATTATCTCAAGTAATGTTCATAAGTTTTCAATTTAGTTATACTCGGACCTCCGACTTTTTTGGTACACAAACTTTATCCCATGTTACCAAATGGAGCTTTTTGCATTCCCAATTGGCAGACAGATGCATCTGTAGTTGTAGAGGTAAAGTGCAAATTCAAATTTTATCATGGTATATAATTTTGATGTAAAATGTTCTTAGGATTATCTCAAATTCTATTTTTATATCTAATTATAAAATTTTAAATTTTAAAAATAGTTAAAATCAAGTAGATCTATAAACATATGAAAATCTTGAAAATGGACGGTGTAAATAATATGTTGTAAAATGCACTATTTCTGAGACTTAAAATCTTTTTATTTTTCATGGTCATACATTTTGATGTCGAGATGATCAATTAAAGGGTTTTTCAACATTAAAACTACCTTTTCCGATTGATTTTTGAGGTACATCGGTAGTTCTACATTATAAGGTTGCATCCTTATATAAACTTTTTCCTTCTTCATTAGATACCCAAAGGAACTTCCTCATCAATTTCTCGAGAGTCCTGGGAGTTTGGTTAGGCATTCTAAATCAAAACATATAGATTTGAGAGGGTCAATTCTAGCAAAGTGAGTTTTCTAGTAAGAGATACATACTTGGGCTTCCAAAGGTCCAATTTCATTTGAAATCTATCAACTACATGATCTGTTGGCAATTGATCAAAACACTAAAGGCCAAGGTATTCAGATGGGAAGGAATTCATGCCATGACTTATCACCTCATTAGCCTCCTTCTGTCTTCCTCATAGCTATGACAAGAACCTTGATTTCCAAGTTGATCTAGGTAAGTGACAACCTGATAGCATTTCAAAAAACACCATAAATTTTTTTTATGAAATTCTCAAGCATCACAATATATCAACTATCATCTGCATATAACAAATTGCAAATAGTTGGACCATCCCCGCAGTTTTGAAACAGGAGATCAAGCATGATGCACACATTATGTTGATCATATGTGTAAACGATTTTGCCACAGCAGCAAAAAAAAAAGGGAGATGAGGAATCTATTTGACTTAACCCTTTAGTTGGTGTGAAGTAACATACAGCTCGGGTCATTCATAAAGATCAAGAAGTTAATTTTGGAGTGGTCCATCCTCCACTTCCTTATTAACAATTATTTGTCCACTCAATAGACTTTGTCAAGATCGATTTCCGCAATTTCAGTAATTTCCCTAGTGGGTTTTCAAATATTTTATAGAATGTAAACACCTATAATCCATAAGGTTTTTTTTTTGGGTGAATCAGTGGAAAGAGGGCCCCTACATTTAGTAGGAATTGAGCCTAGGATTGCAAATTGTCGAGTGCTAACCAATTAAGCTCCGGCTCTTTTCCTAAAATGATGCATAATTTGATCTTTGATGAGAGCATATTGAGGTTGAAAATAACAAGGCTTAGGACCATTTTCAGCATATTGGCCAGCACATTTGAGATCACTTTGTAGACAGTACTGTTTACACCTCAACTTGAAATTGCCCCAAGCTCAAGGTCCAAAGTAGGGGTAATTTGAAAAAAGATATATAAAAAAAAAAAATAGGTATAAATTTAAATAAGATTTTGGGGAGACTTCTTCAATAAATTGGGAGATATCTGCTTAAAGATTTCTTTTTTACTAGATGTTGCTCCTGTAGGATGACATTACACTTGCTTTCTTGGATAAATGTAACTCTTTCTAAAATTTTAATATCCATTTTTTAACTACTGATTATTTTCAAGAAAAACGTTTATACTTCATAACATTAAATGTTTTGTTCGAGAGACTAATTTTATAATGTGCTCCCTCGATAGCAAACATATTAAATTTTTTTTACGAGGGATAGACTTGTTCCTCCTCCATTATAGAAGTGTCTTTTTTCAGTGAAAGATCAGCTCAGACCTTGAAGTTCCGAACCGGTTCATTTACAAAACAAAAGTTAATTCAAAACTTTAAGTTTCAAACTAATCTCTTGATAAAAAAAAAAAAAAAGTCCCCGGTTTAGAAGTTGATCGAATTGAGAGTGATTTGGAAAAAAATAAAAAATTCGACAAAAAAGACACAAGTGTAAACTGATTATGTTTTTTAAAGATTGTGCTGTTTAGAAG